GATTTTACTATAAGGAAGACCTTCATCTTCTTCCCCATATATTTTTTAAATTATTTATATCAATATGGATATACTTCATGGATATTTGTTTATTTTATGGGTTACTAAAAATATCATTACTAAAATGAATTTGTTTTTGTCAATTTGACCCAGATTTAGTCATTGGGAGGCCCTTCAAGTAGTCTCCTGTGTCCTCTGACATGTTGTCATCATTTTTGTCCCCATGGGATATCCCAGATTCATCTTTTACTTTCTCTACCCAAGCTTAGAATCAGTCATTTCCTTCTCTCTCTTTCTTTTATTTTCTTTTTTTTAAGAGACAGGGTCTCACTCTGTTGCCCAGGCTGGGCTTGAACACCTGGCCTCAAGCGATCCTCCCACCTTAGCCTCCTAAATTACTGGGATTATAGGCATGGGCCACCATATCCAGTTTAAATCAGTCATTTATCTAAGAAACTCTGCTCCTTTTTATTAAAGAATTGTATTTAGAAGCCCAGACTTGTAGGCCTCCTCAGAGGACAGAGTTAGGAAATATATATACATGTACTTTTGTTTCAATATTGATCTATATGTATATGTGTTACTCAGTGTGAATTCACGTAATTACCTCTAAGCTAGGCCAGTACCATGTGGCTCATGCTAGCCTTCCCCATTGTCTTTGACAGTGACAGTGAGCAACCTGGATCTTCTTACCCACAATATATTTACTTTACTCAAGCAGTCCTAGAAGGAACTTAAGGTAGTTACAGAATTGTTAATATTGCCTCTGGGGAAAAAATTACTAACTGGTATCCAATATTTATAATAACTATTTTGTTTTTAACCTTAGAATATTTAGTTAAAATACTGTATTTTGAAGTTACTTTGGGTTAATTTTTTTCTTCTCCACCCTCTTCACTGTGGCTATGTCATTTATTTAGAATAAGGTTCTGTTCATTATTACTGTTTGTATTCCATTTCAAGTTCTCCCCACCTCTGGGTAGATTTTATTTTTGATGTTTTGGGTAGATAAAATATTACCATGATTTTTATAATCAGAACTGTACAAAAATGTTTACATAGAGAATTGTCACCACCCTCACTCTGCCATTCTTTATACTCCATTCCCATTTACCCATTTTTTTTTTTTTTAAAGACAGAGTCTCACTCTCTCGCCCTGGGTAGAGTGCCCTGGCATCAGCCTAGCTCACAGCAACCTCAAACTCCTGGGCTAAAGTGATCCTCCTGCCTCAGCCTCCTGAGTAGCTGGGACTACAGGAGCTGCATCATGACTCCCAGCTAATTTTGCTATTTCTAGTAGAAATGGGTTCTCGTTCTTGCTGAGGGTGGTCCTGAACTTCTGAGCTCAAGTGATCCTCCCTCTTCTGCCTCACGCAGTGCTAGGATTGATTTCAAGAGTGCTGTTTGTTTTTTTTAATTGTTTCTATTTGCTTGTTATACTCTCTCCATTCCTTTGTTTTTAACTTGTTTTGGGTGTATTTTTTGTATATAACATGTAGTTTGGTCATGCTTTGTGGCCAAATTTAATGTTTTTTTTTTTCTTTCAAGAGGTCAATTAAACCCATTCATATTCATTTAATGACTTTCATATTTATTGATATTTATGGATATGTATGATCTCAATTCTGTCTTAATATTTTATAGTTATGTACCTAGTTATATTTGTTATTTATTTAACCTTTCTGTTGCTATTTAGGTTATATATTTATTTTAATGTTTGCTTTTATATTTAAAACTTTTAAATTTCCTCATCTCGTTATATTCATATTTAACTTTGTACTGTCTGGTTTGTCTGAAAGGTCTTCTTTAAATATTATGATCTATTGCCTGTACAATAATCAATGAGTGTAGTCTACTTTCCTCTTTGCTTCTCCTTTCTTCCACTTTAAGTTACATTATTTCTACTTTGTCAGAATCTATAACAATTGTATAATAGTCTTCCAACTAATTCTTATCTTTTTTGTAGTCTCACATCTATACTTTCTGTGTATTAATATGTTCTCCATCAGTTTTTGCTAAAAATTTCCCAGTTATTTGTTGTGTGACCAAATTGATGCTTTGGTAAATTCTTCAGAAGGAGCTCATTAGTATAACATTCTGTATGCTTTTTTGTGTTTAAAAATTTCCCATACTTGGTACTTAAAGAACAACATTGATGGCTATAAAATTCTTAGTCTATACTTTTAAAAATTGAATTGTTTGAAAATGTGGCTCCATTGTTGCCTTGTTTTCTATGTTGTTTTTGACAATTCTGGTGTTAGGGTTATTTATTTGAGCTTTTTTGCCTAGGGCCCTTGAGAATATTTTCCCATTATCTTTGAAGTATTACTAGAATATGTTCTATATTTGAACCTGCCAGGTTCATTTTCTGAAGTACCCATTTTGTCTGGTATTCATTAGTTATGTTCCATTGTTTTGTTTTCCCTCTATCAGGGAGTCCAATTATATAAATGTTATTCCTTCTTTTCCTGTGTTTCATTTCCACCACTTCCTCTCTGATTTTTCTTTCTTTATTTCACTGTCCCTCTTGTCATTATTTTCCTGCTTTTATTCAATGTCTCTTGTTAAATTTTCATTGAGTCCCTTATTCCTTGCATACTTTGTAATTTAGACTTCACTTCTGAGAGGATTTTATTTCTTTTATTTTTTCCTGAGTTCAATCAACTCTATTTTCATTTCTTTCTGTTTTTTAATCCATTTTTGTTCTTAATCTTGCTTATTCAAGCAATCGTTTATATCCCTAAATGCTTGCTTTTCAAATATTAGTTTATGTTTTCCTTCTACTTCTTGGTTTTCTTTTGGGGAGGGGAGGTGTTGGATTTTTGTCAGTTAATCTTTTGAATTGGCTTTCTGATTTGGGGTGATAATTTTCTATATTTTTATTAAATTTTCTTCTATTCCTTTTTCTTGGTTATGGTTTTGTAGATTTTCTAGTTTTCTGGTACCTTCTTCTGTCAGTGTAGCAAAGCACAGATTCTTTAATTTTTTTTTTTTTTTTTTTGGTGGGAGTTAGGGGCTGGTGTAAATCCTCTAATTTTTTAGGTATTTTTTTATCATGTCAAACCCTGAATTTTCTCTTTTGTTTCTTTCACTCCTTCCCACCCAATTGCAAAGATTGTCTTTCACTTTCTTTTGCCCCTTTCTTTTCCTTTGTTTAAGACTATCACTTTAAATTGGCCATACTTTTGCATTCCTGCTCAGGTCTACTAGGATACTTTTTTTATTATTTTCACACTTTGGATAACTTAGTCTTTCTGGTGGTGATTTTAGATCAACCTTAGCATCTCATTTGTTCCCCTCTTCTCTCTTTCCCTTCATTATTCTCAGCTTGCCCTTGCTTACTTCAAAGGCATATAGTGTGGTGGGAGTATAATGGTTCTCTCCCTAGGTTTTGGCTGGCCTATCTCCCTCCCTCCCCCACTTCCTTTTTACATACAGTTATTTTGAATTTTGGACATTCTCTGTTTTCAAATTATGCTGAAGGCATAATGTTTAAGAGTTTTTTTGTGTTTTTTTCTAAATTATTTTTAAAGGAAGTTATTAGAAGATGCAAACCTTGGAAACTGTCATTGTCTTTAGCTCTCTTAAGAATAATTTGAGGCTAAGGATAGTAGAATCTTTTTCTAAAAACATTTTTGTTTGATTTTGGTGGGCTTTTAGAGGAACTATAGAATTGCCTTAGTTCATTTTCACAGCCTGAGGCTATTGCCCAGGAAATGTGGCATCTGACTGCAAGTCTGCACAAGGAATGGTTTACCTTTGTGCTCATGCTTATTGTGGGGATGAGTCCTCTCAGGGCTGTTTATTAAACACTCCATCTTGGCCAGACAGCAAGGCTTCGTTTTATCTCATTTGCTGTGGTAAATTGTCACAGCCTATGTTCAGGTTTTCAGTTGATATGTTGGATTGGACAGATATTCTCAGTGCTTCTCTCTCACTTTGTGCTTTTTTTTTTTTTTTTCTGGCTTCATGCTTCTTGTAGAGTTTTATTTAGTAATTCCTTTCTGTTGTTTCCCTTCTTCAATGCTTTTAAGAATCTTTATTTTTTAGTATTATTTATCAGGAGGTTTGTTTCTAATTATCCAAACCAACATTACTAGAAATGGCAGTTGACCCATTCTTGTAAAACATTTTTTATTTTCAACTTCATGGGATTTCATGTGGGAAGAATGATAGATTCATTTGCTTAATTATCCATCTTGAGCTAATCTCCTAACAAGTAAAGATCTGCTATGTTGCTAATAATGAGGGTACTTTATTTCCGTGGTAAAGCCACTTATGACTAATAATAGCTGTGAGTAATAGTGATGATGAGGACAAGTTATTTAGCCATTGAAATATTCCAGACACTCTGTATTTTTCATGCATTTTATTTGTAATAAAATCTACTAATTTACTATTATTATTCTCATTTTTCAGATCATTCCCTGAGGCTTAGCCACCATATCATTTGCCTAAGTTTACATAGGTAGCAAGTTGCAGAAATGGGTTTCAGGCTCTGTCCTGGGCTTTAGAGATACAGGGTTAGCAAATTCCAGCATGTTTCCTGCCTTCATGGACTTCATAGGATTTAATTCCTAGATAATACTTTCTTAACTAGTCTCAAGTCACACTGTAAGGATACTGCAGTATGGTCAGAGATATAATTTTAAAGTCAGAAAGCCTGATTCACTACTGTTTCTGCTAGAAATTGAGGATAATGTGTCTTGTTAGGAAATGAGTATAAGTTCATTCAAATGAAAAACAGAGAGATCAGCAAAGGTCACAACAGTGTCTTTTAATTCCCTAAAGACCCTCCAGACTATGTAGCATAGTGGTTTGTTCACATTTGGTATTAAGTGAATGTTAATTTCATTATGTTTATTGACTGTAAGACATAATGAGTCTTATTCCCACATTATAACTTAGAATCAAAAAATTTTAGCATAATTTTTAAGTTACTTCATATAAAGTACCAGGATACTATTTTATTTATGTATGTTACTCCTTTTGGTTTACAGTTATTTGCTGGTATAAAGGATGGAGAAAGCCTACAGCTCTTTGAACAAAGTTCTCGCTCTGCCCATAAACAAGAGACACACACCATGGAGGCCATGAAGCTTGTGGAGTTTGACCTTAAGCAAACGCTTACCAGGCTTGTGAGACATCTTTTCGGAGATGGTAGGTACTCAGACACAGGTTGAGTATCCCTTGTCTGAAATACTTTGGACCAGAAGTGTTTTGGATTTTCGATTTTTCATATTTTGGAATATTTGCATATATATAATGAGATATCTTGGGGATGGGACCCAAGTCTAAACACAAGTTTCATTTATGTTTCATTGTCACCTTATTTACACACGTAGCCTGAAGGTAATTTTATATAATATTTTAAATAATTTTGTGCATGAAACAAAGTTTTGACTGTGTTTTGGTTGTAGCCTATCATATGAGGTTAGGTGTGGAATTTTTCAGTTTGGTGTCAGCTTGGCATTTTAAAAGTTTCAGATTTTGGAGCATTTTGGATTTTCAGATTAGAGATACTCAACCTGTACCTTTGTCTTTGGAGGCTTAACAATTACCATCTTCCAAATAATTAGGGTGGTTATATGTAGATTTTTTCGTATAAGTTATAGTTTATCGTTTCCAATTTTTAGTGGGGTAGAACTTATGGATTTCCTCCTCATTCCATTTGAGGAACAGGAGTGTATGAAAATGGAATTAGGTAAAGAAAGAAAAACAATTACAACCTTTGATAAGAGTAAATGCATCAGGATCAGTGTCATCAATGGGGAGAACGTATAAAGGCTGATTAGTATGGTGGTATTATGTCATCATTAGATCAGACTTGATCAATGGGGCAAGCTTCTGAACCTTATGAATGAACACAGTGGAAAATTTTAGATGTTGACATGCTGATTACTACCATCAGTTAAAATATTAACAGTATATTTCCTGTAGGAGGAGCAATATTGTTAAGATCTGGACTAGATACTTGGCCTCAATTATTTCTCCAAAGAAATTTCTTGTCACTAATGCTACCTTTCCTTTTCTATTTCTAACTTACTTGAGATAGTGTTTTGTTTGTTTTTAGCAAAATGTAAAGAAAACATTAGGAGATTTTCCTAATTGTGACCTACATTTAAGAAATGCTGAAAAGACAGAAGCCTATCATGATTGGGATTCTCCTTCATTCTCTTATTCTTATGAACTTTAAAAGAAAACTGCTTTATTGAGATATAATTGACATGAAATAAGCTATACTTATCTAAAGTGTACAATAATTTGACATGCAATGAACTGAACATATTTGTACAATCTTATAAATTTTGACATATATAAACCATGAAGCCACCACCTGAATCAAGATAATGAACATATCATTATCCCCAAAAGTTTCCTCCTCCTTATTGGTAGTCCCTCCATCTTCTCCTTCCCCACATCTTACCTCAGGCAACCTATGATCTGTTGTCACTAGTACTTAGTCTCCATTTTTCAGATTTTTATAAGTGGAATTAAATAATGTATGCCCCTTTTGGTCTGGCTTATTTTACTTGACATAATTATTTTGAGATCCATCCACATCATAGTGTATATTAGTAGTTCATCCCTTTTTATTGCTAGGCATTATTCCATTCCACAATTTTTTTTATTCATTCACTCATTGATAAACGCTTGGATAGTTTCCAGGTTTTTGCTGTTACAAGTAAAGCTTCTCTGGAAATTCATGTATGAGTCTTTCCGTGGTCATAAGCTTTTATTTCTCTTGGGTAAATACCTGGCAATGGAATGATTATATCAAATGATAGGTGTATGTTTCACTTTCTAAGAAACTACTAAACTGGGTTCTGAAGTAGTTGTACTATTTTAGATTCCCACTGGTAGTGTATGAAAATTCCAGTTGCTCTACATCTTCAGCAACACTCTATATGGTTAGTCATTTTGATTGTAGCCATTCTAACAGGAGTGTAGTGGTATAGCAAATATGCATTCAACACTTATAAAGATCTCCTCCAACTAAACAAAAAGCAACCTAAGAGAGAAATGGGTGAACATGAAGGTGACAAATGATGTATTAAGAATGACTAATAAATATATGAAAAGGTGCTTCCCTTTATTAGTAATCAGGCAAAAACAAATGAAAACCACCAGGAGCTTTTTCATATGGGAAATGATTTTAAAAAGCTCACATTTGTAATGTTGACAAAGATGTAGAGAAATAGGGTGTGGTACAGTTCTGGCCTTACGTAGGAGTTGTAGTTACCATTCACCAAGATGTGATGTTAGTAAGTACTCACTCACTACCCTTGATTCACTGTTTTTTCATACCTACAATTTTCCCTATTCATGTGTAAAGTCAAACATGTATCTAAAGGGAGTCTTGTAATTTATTAAGCCTCTGCTGCTCTGCTTTTGGCAAGGTTTGTTAGAATATCTTTGCCATATTGTCAAATGCATACTTTCATGTAATATTTAAGAATCCACTAAGTAGTCCTGTGTATTCTTTATATACATACAGTTTCAAAAGGAGCAAATCAACTTCAGAATAATGTCTTTTTCTAGGAGGTGAGAAATGGTATTAGGAAGGGGTAGAAACCACGCTTCAAATTTGTTCGTAATGTTTTATTTTTTAAAAATCAAGTTTAGGCAGGGCACGGTGGCTCACGCCTATAATCCTAGGACTCTGGGAGGCCTGTAATCCTAGGACTCTGGGAGGATACCTTGAGGTCAGGAGTTCGAGACCAGCCTGAGCAAGAGTGAGACCCCATCTCTACTACAAATAGAAAGAAATTAGCTGGGTAACTAAAAATCTATGTAGAAAAAATTAGCCAGACATGGTGGCACATGCCTATAGTCCCAGCTACTCAGGAGGCTGAGGCAGAAGGATCGCTTGAGCCCAGGACTTTGAGGTTGCTGTGAGCTGGGCTGACGCCACGGCACTCTAGAACAAGGGGCAACAGAGCAAGACTCTGTCAAAAAAAAAAAATGAAGTTAAATATGACAAAATGGTATGACTTGATAAAACTGAATAATGGGTGTGTGGGTGGTCATTATTTTCTATTCCTGTCTCTAGGTTTGATATATTTGATATTAAAATGGTATAATGTGAGAGTGAAACAGGTTTCAAATAAATGTTGCTGATGTGAAAATCCTATTATTGCCAATTTTTCTTTACTTTCATGATAAAAGAAAGGAATTGTGATATTTTAAACAGTATTATAGTCTATTTAACACTGAATTACAGGGAGATGGATTTTGTTGTCAAGCCATTTTAGAGGCAGGGTGGGATAGAAGAGGTTCTGATATTTTAAGGAAGAGATAGTGTTCTGTCTCTAGTAGCTTTGCAGAAAGATTCAGGCTCATCCGAATTTTTCCATTGTCAAATTATGGAGGGAATTTTTCTAGAGCCCTCCTTATTTATGTCTTCCTATTCATTTCCATAGCCCAATGATTTGCTATTTGAGGTTTAGAAACTATATTTCCACCAGGTTGCAGGCATCACAATATTGAATAAGCAGGACATAATCCCTGTCTTCAAGGAGCATGGATATTACATCCTCTTCTAGGGAGACATAAGATGTTCTGCAAGCACATGGGAGAGGCACCTCTTCCAGTATTGGGCTTGTGCTCCAGGATGATTCCTGGTAGAGAACATCCAAGCTGACACCTAGAGGGTAAGTGGGAATTAGCCAGGTGTGAAGGGTATATCTAGGGGGACTAAGCAAGGGTATTGGGAGAAGAAAGGAGTGAAACATAACAAGGAGGCAACACAAATACTAGTCACTGACAGCAGCGTGATGCAGTACCACATTAAGGAAAGAAGAGAAGGTGAAAGGGAGAAAAATGATTGACAACACAATCTTATGACCATTGGGAAACATAGTATGGAATCGGAAAAATTAAAATTCTCTTTCATCTTCTTACTTTGAAGTCTTGAACAGGTCATTTAGTGTTTCAGGCCTCAGTCTTTTGGCTTCTAAAAGTTGAGATGATAGTTGTTTTACATGATACTAAAACAAAGTAACATGAAATGTGCCTTGTAAGTAGAAAATATTAAATGAATGTATAAATATGAAAAATGATGGAAGAAGGGAGTGAAGGGAAATTAAGTCAATAAAAACAGGGAGAATGTGAGGAAGGAGTAATACAACCAAAGAGCAGTAGTTACGGTTGTTTTGTCTTTGTTGCATCTAATGGAATGACATGTAACTCTGGAACATAGTTGTTTGGTGTTGATGGCGGCTTTCACGTACTCAGCAGGTATTTTGAAAAATAAATAATATCCTAGACCCTGTATGGATTATAAAAACTTTCGCAGGGTACTTGAAGATACACATTTCTCTGAATATGGTCCTAGACTTTTCTGTGTCATTATTTTTAATAATTGTGTTTATATAGTTTTCAAAACCTGCAGTGAAGTTAGAGTTTCCAGGTGGTAGGTTTCCTTATAAAAAAAACATTTCTGTAATATGATTTTTCTAATTGTGGTGCCTGTCTTGACATGGTGGGCATACTCATTGCCAAGAATTAAGAATCTTACATTTTGACCAGGAGTTTGAGACCAGCCTGGACAACATAGTGAGATCCTATCTCTATATAAAATTTAAAAATTTAGCTGGGTATGGTGGCACAAACTTGTGGTCCCAGCTACTTGGGAGGCTAAGGTGGGAGAATCACCTGAGCTCAGGAGTTGGAGGTTATAAGTAGCTATGATTGGGCCATTGCACTCTAACCTGGGTGATAGAGCAAGATCTTGGGTCTTCTCAAAAAAAAAAAAAAAAAAATAGGAATCTTACATTTTGAAACAGCAATGAAGTTGTAGCGCTCTATATCAGACATATTTTGCGTACATTTGCTTTATTATTTAAAAAATACTGTCTGCCTAGATTTAAGGTTTTCAGATTTTATTACAGATCAGTGTTACTGTTTTATAAATCTTCAAATTCACTTTTTGCGTTTAAGACTTAGCAGAATCATGGAATAGAATTAAAGTAAAAAACTGCCCGCCTAATGAATGCAGTTGTTCATTTTCACCGAAGTCTGTCTGAGAAAAAAGACTTTTTCCTTTCCTTTGAGCCACAGCCATCTTTAACCTTACCCACGCAGTAGCCCAGCACCCCGCAAGTGCTGAAAGGCACATTACCCACACATCCCCGCATCAGGCCAGCACATCACCCTGG